TTCCTGCACTGCAGGGGTGTCGGGCTAGAGGACCCAATTCCACAATTCTGGGATTCTATGGATTTTTAATAAATGTGCAATTATTGTCACCGTTCTGAATCGGTGGGTCTTGCAAACCACTGTTCTGAATAATGCTTTTTATAGGTGAGGGAGTTTATGGAACCCAAGGGGTGCCCCCACAAAACCCTAGGCAGCCCTGAGATGGGGGGGGGGCAGGGCCCCGACTCAGAATAAGGCAAAAACCTCCTCTGCTCCTCTCCAGGCTTCCTGCCTCTTGCCTCCCATTTTGGCTGGAGGCTCTCGGAGGATGGAAGGGAGAGTCCCTCCTTCTGCCCCTGCCCCCTGGGGGGCTGTCATGGGTGCGGGGGGGGGGGGAGAGGCAGGAGGGGAGCTCCTCTTCCCCCGCCCAGGAATGAATGTGCTGCCTCTGTCAGTGGGGCAGAAACCCGATAGGCGGGAAGGGAAGGCTTATAGCTTTCTCCGTGCCCCTGAGTGGTGAGGAGGCCCTGCCAAGGCTGCTTGGCAAATACCAAAGGAGACTCCAGGGACAGAACGTGGGCCACGTGGGCACCTGCTCCTGCCACTGCCGCATGGGGGACCTGGCACAAGGCAGGCAGCTGCTCCAGGGTTGCAAAGGCCACGCTTCTCCTCGCCACCCTCAAAAGCACTCGAGGCACGTTGGGCCGGAAAGGGAGCGTGCCGGGGGCGAGGGGGGTGGCCGTCTGCCTTGGCCACTGCCCACCAAGCTGTCTCCTGAGCGCAGCTGCAGGCCGTCACATCTTCCCAAATATAGGAAGGAAGTGTGTCTGGGAGCCAGCACCACTGGGCTGCACTTCGGCCGACACTGGCTCTGCGCCCAAAAAGTGCTGTTGAAGAAGATGGGAAGAGGCCGCTGGATCAGGCCAAAGGGGGCTCATCTAGTCCAGCCGCTTCTTCTCCCAGTGGCCAACCAGATGCCCCAGTGGGAAACCCGCTAGCAGGATCTGAGCATGGAAGCAATGCTCTCCTCCTGTGGTTTCCAGCAACTGGGATTCAGAAGCATTGCAGAACAAAGCCACCTTGGATAATAATAATAATAATAATAATAATAATAATAATAATAATAATATGCTCCAGGCCGCCATGTGCCAAACTGCACCCGGGATTGGGGCCTTCCTTAGCCAGAGCCCTGCATCTAGCATCCAAGGCCTTTTTCATCTCCTGGGAGTCTCCATCCCTGGCCTGGCTGAAGGCAGCGCGTGACCCCAGAGTTCCCCGGAGGCTCATCCATCGATTCATGGGTCACCAGCGCAGGTCACAAATAAACAGGCAATTCATTAATAATGTGGGGCTGGCAGGCAGCGGAGGGGGGCGAGTCGCTTGGGGGGCTGCTAGATTCCATTTGCCTCTCCATGGGGCTGAAGTTCCCTCTCCTGACAGGCCTCCTAGAGAGGACCTGGAAGGAAAGAGAGGGAGGAAAGGGTGGGAAGGGAAGGAGGAGGCCATGGGGAGGCCAGGACTGGTCTGTCAGCCCCCTCACCCACCCACCCACCCACCCAAGCTTGGCTCCTGGGATTTTAGACCCTTCATGAGGAGGAAGAGGAGGAGGAGGAAGAGGAGGATGGAGGAAGAGGAGGAGGAAGAGGAAGAAGAAGAAGAGGAGGAGGAGGAGGAGGAGGAGGAGGATGGAGGAAGAGGAGGAGGAAGAGGAGGAGGAGGAGGAGGAGGAGGAGGAGGAGAGAATCCTGTTCCCCATCCTAGGAAAAGCCCCATGTTCCGTTTGGCAGAGTGTCTGCTGGGCCTCCATGTGGGACATCTATCTTGCTTCAAGTCTTCCCTTTGCCAGAGGCTTCTTTTATGTCCTGGGGTGAGCCACCCCCCACCATCTCCTCACCTTCCCAAACCAGCCACTCTCTTTCTGGGGGGAGAGAGGGGTGTTCAGGCATGAATCGGAATCCTTCTGACAATAGCCGAGACTGACAGCTGCTGAGGCCGAACGTTCAGCCATCTAACTCCCCTCCTCTCCAGTGCTTTTGCCAAGCAATCGGAGGCTGCGTGTCAGGGAGTCTTGATAACAAATGAGCCTGGTTAATTGGAAAGAAGATTTATTGTAAAAAAACACAAACAGAGTTCAACTGGAGCGGCAAGCGCAGCGGTCCGTCCATAAATCAAAGATGTCCCTACCAAGGAGGCTTCTTCCAGTGGAACCCAAAGCAGTCTTGTGACATATTGTGTCTTGAAGACCCCCTATACGCCTAGACCTTGGACTAAGGGGGTCAGCTCCCTCCCTTTCCTCATTTCCGGACAATGAACATCCGTGGTCGTTCCCATACTCTGGGCTATGACCAATTTCAGTCTCTGTAGTTGGAACTTCACTGGTTGGCTGACAAACTGCTGGCTGGCTGCCATCAGAGCTGTTATCAGTCGGCATTCCTAAGGGTTGGGGAGCAGACTCTCAGCTATGCTCATCCAGTCTTGCGTTTAACCCTCTCTTCCTGCCTGCTTTTTCCAGCTGCCTGTAAATCTTCCCTGGGAGCTGGTGCATTCAGGACACTCCGCCTACATCCAGCCTGCCTTTGCTCCTCCCATTTCATTCCTCTTCCGCTTCTCGGAGACCCGGTGGGAGGGGAGCTTGCCGCAGCAGGAGGGGTGTGATGGCCTGGGATTCGGACTCAGATGCTGAACCTGAGGGATCCCAGCCTGCACAGGAGTCCCGCCTCCAGGACTGGCTGAGCCGGGGCTGGGGCTTGAACCTGAAGGGTCCTCACCTGTGCTGGATCCTCAGGTGCAGGCACCAGCTGAGTCTGCTCTGGCTCCTGAGGTGATGGAGGATCCATTGCCTGCATGTGCTCCACTCTCAGCCCCGTCAGAGGAAGCTGAAGTTGCCTCTGGGTCCGGGAACCCCCCCCCCCCCAGCCTTTCCTGAGCTGCAGAGGCTCAGGGCAGAGAGGCGGAGGGAACTAAGTTCTCGCAGGAGGAGTGCTCACCTCCAGGCCAGGAGAGGCGAGTCACCAGAGGATTGGGGCCGCCCTATGCCTCGGGGCAGATAAAAGCCAGTCAGCCCCAGGCCCAGGTTGCGGGAGCAATTGTTGGTTGCCAGTTCCTGTTTGAACCCTGTCCTGCTTTCCTGCCTGAGCTTCTGACCCGCCCTGGCTCCCTGCTTGCAAGCCTGTTCCTGACTTCACCCGATTCCCTGCCCTGCACCCAGCTTCAGCTACTACGGACTGCCTCCACATTGCATCTTTGACCTTGGACCTCGCCTCTCGGGTAACCCCCGGGACCAGCACAAAGGGGAAGACACCATTGACTCTTCCCAGCCAGACTCCTCTCTGCCTCCCTCCTCCCCTGCCTCAGCCTCTGAGTCTGCACTGCTCTCTGCCACAGCCTCTCCCTGCTCACTACGCCCTGTTCACTCTTCAGCTTACACCACCTCCTCTTCCCAGTCCTTTCCCTCTTCTCCCTCTGACTACTGATCGTTGTCCCACCATCGCTTCCCAGGCTGTGAGCCTTCTTCCCTTGATGGTTCCCCAGCTGGTCGCCCCCCCCCCCCATTCCTCTGTGTCCAACCAGCTCATGACAGGAGAGTCAGAGCCGCCCCCGGAATAGGCACAAGCAAGAGGGCAGGCAAGTGGGGGCTGGCCAAGGGCCACCTGAGCTTGGGGGGGTGCCCCATCTGCCCCGACGGATCAGCCTCCCCTGGGCCTGGCCTGACTCACCCCCTTTTGCTCAGCACCAGAAACAGGCCTCCCCCTTTTGGGTTGCAGGCTCCACATTCCTTGGGGAGGGAGCCTTTGTCTTCCATCCTTGGGACAAAGGAAAAGGCAGGGGAGGGATGCTGAGAAGCAGAGCTGGAGCTTCTCTAAGGGGGCTTGTGAACAGCAGAGGGATCCCTTGGGAGCGGGGCAGCTGTGGGATGTAACCCACTGGGAGCAGTCAAATACAACATTCCTTGTTTTGCTAGAGTGGACATGCAAGGGAATGTTCGGTCCAGCCAGTCGAAGCTTCCTGTTCCTCCTGGCCTGTGACCAGTGGATGGGCATGACCTTTCCAGACCTGGTCAAAGGACAAGGCATGCTGCCACTCTCTCTCTTTTCCATCTTCCTTTCGTCCTGCGAAATTCCCAAACTGCTAGCCTGCAGTCACTAGGTAAATCCCCCTTATGGGGTAAACCTGTTTGTATATGCTTGTAACTTTCAGCCTTAAGCCTGCCTTCAGGGATTACACTGTGCTCTGCCTGATCATGAGTAAACTTTCTTTTTATTGCTTATGAATAAGAGTGTAGTGTCTTTATTCTTTTAGGAGGGATTCAAGGGAACTTACCAGGAAAATATTACAACACATTTCAATCTGTACAAGACAGATGGAATTGCATATTGTCTTAAAAAACTCACATGACTTTGCAGCTAGTTTTCTGCTGTGTAAAGGGGAATGCCTCAACATCAAAAAAATGAAGATCGTGGCCACTGGTCCCATCACCTCCTGGCAAATAGAAGGGGAAGAAATAGAGGCAGTGACAGATTTTACCTTCTTGGGCTCCATGATCACTGCAGATGGTGACAGCAGCCACAAAATTAAAAGATGCCTGCTCCTTGGGAGAAGGGCAATGACAGGCCTAGACAGCATCTTGAGAAGTAGAGACGTCACCTTGCCAACAAAGGTCCGTATAGTAAAAGCTATGGTTTTCCCAGTAGTGATGTATGGAAGTGAGAGCTGGACCATAAAGAAGGATGATCGCTGAAGAATTGATACTTTTGAATTATGGTGTTGGAGGAGACTCTTGAGAGTCCCATGGACTGCAAGAAGATCAAACCTCTCCATTCTGAAGGAAATCAGCCCTGAGTGCTCACTGGAAGGACAGATCGTGAAGCTGAGGCTCCAAGACTTTGGCCACCTCAGGAGAAGAGAAGACTCCCTGGAAAAGACCCTGATGTTGGGAAAGATGGAAGGCGCAAGGAGAAGGGGACGACAGAGGACGAGATGGTGGGACAGTCTTCTCGAAGCTAGGAACATGAGTTTGACCAAACTGCTCTGGTCCAGGGGGTCACGAAGAGTTGGACACGACTAAACGACTAAACAACAGCAAAAGGAGAATGCACTCTGCCAAGTGAAGGAACTTGCTAGCGCAAGTTAGGAAGGATACTAATAAGCAATATATCCTCTCCTGCCACCCTGAACATTCCAATGGTCTAGAATTCTCTGATGTCATCAGAAGAGTAAGCTGTTTTTTTTTAGTTAGGTCCGTTATCAGCTGCAGAGGATGAGTAGCCTTGGGAGCCTCTTGGGGAGATGGAAGTGTTCAAAGGACTGAATCCATGAAGGAGAGCTACTTGCTCTGAGATGGGGGAACCTTTGGGCAAAGGCCAGCAGCGAAGAGATGCTGCTGGATGCCAGGTTTTTTGGCTCCCCACTTTCCTCTAGGGTGTAACATTGGAGGTCCTGCGGGAGGAAAGAGCGTCTCCGAGTCAGGGGCCAGTCTGGGCCAAAGCGGCCCTCCATTGCCCTCACCACAGAGTCCCTGGCACTCCTTTATCATCTCTGATGCCATCAGGACACTTACATTAAGCAGGAGGAGGTGCAAAGCGTTGGGGGTCTCTGTCAGAGCAGATGGTGGAAGTGCTGCTTCAATTCCTGTGGCAGATGCCCATGTTCAAGGCAGCAGGTCTACGGAGGGCAAGGAGGGAAAGAGAGAAGAGATTTTGAGTCCTGGGTGCAATTGTGGAAATGTGTGAGGAAGAAGAAAGAGCCATGTCAAGAGGAGTGAAAATTAACGACAAATCTTCCTGTCCACCTCCTTTCCTTCCTCCAGGAGTACCTCAAACGTCCTGGGGACTATTGGACTGCAGAGGTCATGGAGCTGAAGAGATGGAGGTGAGAGGCTTAGACGCTGCCTCCTCTGAGTCCCCCTTGCCCCCTCCTGCCTGCTCTTCCCACCCTGAGCTTCTCTCCACCACAACCACGTTCATTCAAAAGACACAACTCACCTCCACTGGAAAAGGGCCTCCAGGGCCAAGTCAAGGACTAGGGGGCACTTGTTAAAATCATCACGGAGGTCCTGGGAGAGAACAAAGTCAGGATGATGGCCCCAACTCCAAGCTTGGCTTGCCCATCCCTGACCCTCCCACCCACCTCCCTGCGGGGGTCCCTCACACAACCAGAATGGCCTCTGCAGCCAGATGCTCGGAGGTCTGAATGGCCCTGAAGCCTCTCAGCGCAACTTCCTGGCAACTCTCAATGACCTGGGACAAGAAAAGCCAAGAGAAGTCAAGACTAAGTTCATACCTCCCTGTCCTCCTTATTCTTTTCTTCTAGGATGGCCTGGAAAGTTGTGTGGACGATTGCGCTGCCCATGTCCAAAGTGGAGACCCCCCAGCAGGCGCTGGAAGTGCCCCTTCAGTTCCCGTGGAAAAAGAAGAGAGAAGAGAGGTAGAGTCCTGACTGGAATTCTGCAAGAGCCTTGCAAAGACAAGTCCAGACAAAGGACAGACCTCTCTGTGCTGATCCTCTTCAGGAACACCAGGTGGGAAGGGCCTGCCAGGCAGGGAGCAGGTCCTGCAGGACTCCCAGCAAGAAGACCTGAGAGGTGAGTCTTGGGTACAGACCTTCAAGCAAACAAGGGAGAAGGGACTTCGCTGTCCCCAAGGTGTGGGGCTCACCACCTTTTGGACTTGGCCAGAAGCAGGCCAGCTCCGGCTGAACTGCTGTCTTCTGCAGAGGAAAGAAAAATCCAGGTCAGATGATACAACGAAAGCCACTCTGGATGGGTGCCTCTTTGGCCAACTGGGATAGCCAAACAGAGCCAGCAGGTTCCTTCAGCAATATTTTAGGGATAGTGTCCATATACCTGGGATTTTGCCATTCTTCCCCCATTTCATATTCTCCCAACAGTCGCAGGGCTGTCTTCTCAGTGCCATCGAGGGTCTCCTTGCATTTCTGCTCTCCTCGTTGTTCTTTATATTTGTACAGCCCTCCTTTAGTCTGAGAGATTTCTTCTCCTTCCAACAAGGGAATCTTCTCAGGACCATCCTGTGGATCTTTGCATCTCTACACTTCCTCTTTAGAAATGCCTTCTCCTTCTAACAAGGGAGTTTCATCAGTCAGACGGCTGCTCTCCATCCTCTTTCTATTCCAGTTCTTTTCCCTCTTTTCACCAGTCGGTTCTCATTCCTCTAGATTTCCACTTTGAGTTCCAGGAGCTGCAGATTCAGAAGTCTTCGCAAGTGGACAAGAATTTGGTGATCCTATACATCTCCCCTCCTCTGGCCCCTTGGCCCCATCAGTCCCGCCCCCCAAAAAGATGAAAAGAACCCAGAGATAGGTATGAAAACCAACCGAATGAGACCAAATGGAGAAAAACCACCTTCCTCCTTACCCAGTGGCCTCTCTCTGGTGTCCAGCGGAGCCCGAGGTCTGCACTGAATACATGTCTTCGATGATGATGTCATCTGGATGGAAGAGAATGAAAATGAGAGTCAGTCCAGGCGCTGCTCTCCCAGGCCAGGTGGGAAAGGCCTGCCAGGCAGGGAGCAGGTCCTGCAGGACTCCCAGCAAGAAAACCTGGGAGGCACATTTGTACGCCACAACAGCAGCAAGAATACTTATCGCAAAGTATTGGAAGACACAAGATCTACCCACCCGGGAAGAATGGCAGATGAAGGTGATGGACTATATGGAACTGGCGGAAATGACTGGCAGAATCCGAGACCAGGGAGAAGAGTCGGTGGAAGAAGATTGGAAAAAGTTTAAAGACTATTTACAGAAACATTGTAAAATTAATGAATGTTAGAATGATGTTGGATAAGAAGTTAAGTGGTTTTTAGCTGTAATGCTATAAAGGAATATGAAAAAATGGATTATTAACAGGTAAAAATTTAATGTTATAATACTTTAAGATTAAAGACTAGGAGGGAAAGGATTTGCTGAACTAACAAATTGAACTGGAATACAAAAAAGGGAGGTGTGAGGAGGTCCGGGAAACGAGCAAATGAAAGATAAGATATGAAAAGATGGAATTGTTTTTAATTATTTTTATTTTGTATTTTTCTTTTTTCTTTTTTCATTTTGTAATATTTTGAAAATCTTAATAAATATCTTTTTTAAAAAATAAAAAAAAAGAAAACCTGGGAGGCAGGGACCTTCAAGCAAACAAGGGACAAGGGAGTTCGCTGTCTCCAAGGTGTGGGGCTTACCTTCTTTCAGTCTCCTCCAGAAGCAGGCCAGGTCTGGCCGAATTACTGTCATCTGCAAAGAAAAATCTGGGTCAGATGATACTATGAAATCCACCCTGAATGCGTGCAAGAGAATGGAAGGACAGGCCTCCCTCTGCCTTGGGCCCAATCCCTTGTCCCAAAGGACCTCCCCGGGCCCTGCTGGAAGGGCAGCAGCAGCAGGAAAGGGGGCAGGAAAAGCCTCTGGCCTCATCCTGGCCCCCAGGGACACACAGCGCATCATCTGTGATAAAGGTCGCTGGGGGATAAATGAAGGGAA